TACATCATACATGCATACATACATACGTACATACATACGTACATACATACGTACATACATTATGTAGATATGTATGCATATACATACAAGAGAAAGACGAGGAGTCACGCCCTGCAATGAGAGCGAGGTATATAAATATATGTATGTATATACAGACGAACACACTAACAGTCTATCTCTGCAGTCGTGGTCGTTCAATCATTCATACACATGCAAACGGCCCAGAGCCTTCAGGCAATTTTCTGCGGCAGTGAGCCGCCAGAGGACCTGGACCTACCTGATTCCATGACGAAGAAGGCCGGGGCTTCAAACACAATGACGCAGCAATGGCACGGGATCTCGATTTGTTTTGGTTAGTTTTGGCCCTTGCGAGCTCTATCCCTCTAGGATGTCGGACTTTGGGATCGTCGGTGAAGTGTCGAAGTGCTGAAATCGAACAGACGAACAGCTTGAAACAGTCCAGCAGCCCGGGCTTATCCTGACGCACTTTAGCAACTCTGGAATTTGCTCTCGTTCTCATGAGGATCCCTTGCAGTAGGCTGCATCGCTCGCGTTCGAAAGGGCGTTGAAGCTGTTCAGCAGATGAAAAGACAATGCAGACGGCTAGTTTGTTTGCTTCCAGACTGACGGAGTACATACAAGTCAAGCCTGAACTCAAAACGGCACCATTGGCAAGCAAGGCAGCAATGACATGTTGTATTGTCTCCACAGGACTTCCAGGAAAAGGTGCGCGCCAACTTGAAACAAGTTCTCGAAAGCATCTTGGCAATTGCTTGCAGCGACAGCGATAGGAGGAGTGCGTACAAGTCCCCAGGACATCCCTGATTCGAAAAGCTGTACGCTCATTATTGCTTTACTGGCACTGCTTCTGCGCACGCCACTACTGCGATTGGCGCATCCGCTGCAACTCTGTGCTGGCCACACCGCGACCACCAGCACGACGACGACAGCATCGGCAGCTACGGATCCTATTGCTACTGCTGCTACTTCACCAAGACTACTTCTCCTGCTGTTCCTCTTACTTCGCTTGCTGCTACTACTACTACTACTACTACTACTACTGCTACTGCTACTGCTACTGCTACTGCTACTGCCACCACCACCACCACCGCCACGACTCCTACTACTACTACGACGACGACGACGACTACTACTACTGCTACTGATACTGCTACTGCCACCACCACCACCACCACCACCGCCACGACTACGACTACTACTACTACTACGACGACGACTACTACTACTGCTGCTGATGCTGCTACTGCCACCACCACCACCACCACCACCACCACCGCCACGATGACGACGACGACTACTACGACTACTACTACTACTACTACTACTACTACTACGACGACGACAACGACAACGACAACAACAACGACAACAACAACAACAACAGCAACAACTACTGCTACTACTACTACTTCTACTACTACTGCAACTACTCCTGCTGCTGCTGCTACTAGGACAGAGCAGTTTGTGCTGGACAGTAATGTAACTGGTCCGTGGGAAGGAGGTCACTTGACTGATACCCTCCATTCTGCTGCACAAGTGGGTCGTTGCCGCCAAAGTTTTGCTGCTTGGAACGCTCAAGGAGCATTGGGTAGATCTACAGATGAGGCTCTTAACGTGGATCGCATGTTGCACTGTTCGGCGCAGCTTTTGCACGTGAAAGCTCAGACCACATGCTGCGTGGCCCGTTTGCACCGGGTTCCGATTTTTCGGGTTGCAAATGCACGAGCCGGCAGGCGCTAGTGCACGAGGCCGTTGCACATGCAGTCTCCATTATTGAAGGGTATGGCATTGATTGCGCCATGTGGGTTACCATTCAGTGTCAGCCCATGATTCTTCTTCTCGCGGCTTATGGACCGCATACCGGGCACGCTGCCTGCATTCGTGATGCTTTCTGGCAGCAGCGATTGCGTGAGTTTCGTAGCATGAGATGCTTGGAAGCTCTATGGAACGTTCTTGTGTTTTGTGAGGCGACACTAACCTGCATTTCCCTTGTCTGGGGCAGACCAACGCTCGCATGGCCAGTACACTCGCCGGACAACTGTTTTCAGTTTTCTGCACTCCGGAGGGTGTTAAGAAATCAACCAGCGGTTCCTACTCACGCCTCGGCTTCGGCTATTGATTTGGTGGCGGCTGAAGAGGTCCTTGCTCTGGACCTGGAGGTGTCATGCTCCAGGAGGAAGGGCTGCGCAGCGACCATGCCTTCCTGGTGCGCTCCTGCCATGTGGCCACCGTTCCCATTCTGAAGCAGCAGCAATTTGGGGTTGCTCGTTGGGATCTATAGGCTCCTCCTGACATGTTGCCCTCGATGCAGTCAAATTTTCACATGCCTTTGCTTTTCTGGGGTAGCATGTCCCTTCGACAACGGGACCCTAAGCGCATGGACTGCGGAAAGGAAGGGTGGAGATCCGTGGTGTTGACACTGGCGGGCCACTACAACGGGCTGGCTTGGGTGTCTATAGGGCCGACAGGCGTAAGAACCTTCCGCGTTTTTTTTGGCCGTTTATGGCTGCAGAAGTAGAAGAAGGAGAACGTGCGACTGAAACTGCGGAAGATCTCCTTGCCAGGTTTAGTTCTTCCTTGCATGAAGAGAAGGTGGCCAAATCAAAAGGTTGTTTGCCTGTAACCAGAATGCGGTCCCAAGCTTATCTGTCCCAGCTGTTGAAGCCCGGGGAGTCTCTTCAGACACGGCTTTCGGAAGAAAGCACAGGTAGGCAGGCATCGGACTTTGAGACATTGGCGGCCATTGCCAACGATGTGGCGGCTAGTGGCTAGGGGGGATGCTGGTCATGCAGGGGTCCCAGTGTTCAATTTTTTGGTCCAGATGTGTGTGGCGAATGCAACAGCCCACGTGTTTCGTTCGTCTGAGACCACGCCTATCCTCAATTTTCAGTTTTCCTCTTCTCTCATTAAGTTCGTTCAAACTAGGAGAGCTTCGGTCCATCTGCCCAGGCAAGCCATTGTCGCATAATTTTGATGCAGGACATGTTTTGACATGGGTTTGTTAATTGGATTTTTGCCCTGGGCCTCGTCCTGTCGCCGTGGTTTAGGATTATCTCGCCCATCTGCAAACGCGGCCCATTGGTTGTCACAAAGCTTTATATCTTGCGCCCTCCTGGTTGCTATGTGTCTGATGTGGAAGGGGTCTTTGACCTTGTTTGGCTGTACTTGTTCAAACAAGCCTTGATTGAGTATGCAGGCTCTTCGCAGGTGGGTGGTCAAATGGACTCAGTTCTCGTAACAGTGGGGATCCCAACAGGATTGCAGTCGCACATGAACGCCAATTTGCCGAGCATGGTTTCAAAGGTGAATAACCGACCTTGCTAGGCGTGACGCTGTTCGTCTCCATGCCTACCCACGGGAACGGTTGCCTAATCTTAGATAGATGCTTGGCTGATGACCATGCAGCAGTTAGGATGGGTCCTTTGCTTGGTCCTTTCTTCGTCAGCCTCGACCATGGCATCAGGCAGGGCCGTCGCAGTGCCGTGCAACTGTTTCGTACCTTTGCCGAGGGACCGGCGGATGCTGTGGGTTTCCCTTCACCAGATGTGGGTTTAGGACACGAACCTACTGTGCGTCTTAGGAGAAGCAGTGAACCAACAGCATGTGCGAGCCGAGCTGGGGCGATTTGTGAGAAGCAGCAAAGACTAATAAATTCAATCCGAAAGCTTCGCGGAGTGAGCTTCGGCTATTGCTGCGTCCGTCGTCATCGGAAGAAGAAGCCTTGCTCCTTCTGGACGCGACTGCTCAGAGCAACTTTTTGTTGCTTCATGCAGTTCATCCGCCTTCGCGCTTCAATCCATGCTGTGGGGGTTGTTTAAGGTCTGCAGGTCGGTGTCTTCGTTTGCTGTCTTTTGGCACCGTAGATTTGCAAGTAGCAAAAAGGCGGCCTCGCCTGCCCCGTTGCCACGCCGTGCACATGCTGGTGAAGCTGTTAACATACTAGACCCGCTGGACATCTTGGGCGTGCCGCTGGAGACAGACCTCAGCTTAAGCGTCTTAAAAATGCGGTTGTTGATCTAGGCAGATCTCTTGACACACAGGGTTTGGGAATCTCGTGGCACGCAGAACAGCGCCCTGATTAGCCGCAAGCTGAGCCAGATGCATTATCAAGCCGTCAAGGCTGTGTCGGGTATTTCCACTTTGTCTTTCGGTGAAGGAGGTTACATTATGGTGCTCTTGTGGCTGGGGTACTCCTGACGGCTAAGTGCCAAAATTGCTTTGAGGATTGTTAAGATCGTTGGCTCGTCTTCTTACCCTCCCACCTTCCAATGTCTTGCGCTCGATATTAAAGCAGCCATGGCAGTCCCTGGGCCTACATGGGTTGATGCAGCTAAAGGCGTGGCGTGGTCGCTTGGAGTGTTCAATGTGCCATCGCGGGAAACGTTACCGAGTGAGGTGAACTCCGCCCCGCTGTTTAAGCTTTACGTCCAGCACTTAAGTGCCATAGTGCTGTCTCGGCAATTGCAAGCGTTTTTAAGAGCGCTGGCACTCGGAAACGTTGTCCAAGTTGGCATGGGCACCACCAACAGACCTAAGAGCTAATTACGGTTAAACTCACATGTTCCTTTCTGTGGACGCCCAGAATGTCGAAAGCTTGCAAGGTGTGGTTTCTGGCAATCTTGACAGGGCGAGGCTTCTTTGAAGGGTGGTTTAGAAGAGCTGAGCATTGTTTCGGAAGGATGTTGTGTGTTGTGCGGAGCTCAGCCGGCCAATCTTAGAGTGCATCTGGCAACTGAGTGCCCAGAATCTGTGGAGTTGGCCAGGGCTCCCCAACAAACCGAGTTGTTTACGCTGCCTACAGATGCCACCAGCCTCAGGGGCCGCATGAGTGTTGTGGTGAACCTCATGCAGCGATGGCAAGCTCGAGACGGGTAAAACGGCAGGGCGCGGAAGGGACTTTAGATGACTGATGGGCAAAACGGACGTGTTGGCTCGCAGACCCTTCGGGGTAGCGGCACTCATGCCGTACTGCCAGTACGACCACTGCAACTACCATTACGACTGCCACTGCCAGTGACGACTGCCATCCAGCATCACTACTGCTAACAATGCCACATCATGACCACTACCAATACGACTACTGCTACTGCTGCTGCTCCGCTACTATCATTATTCCTGTTATTATTATATCACTAGTATTGATACTACTATGGTTATTACTATTAGTATTACTATTACTATTTTTATTACTATATTTCTATGGCTATTTTTGTTACTAACACTATGATTATCATTAGTATTATTAATATTACTATTATTTCTATTACTATTCCTACTACTGTTACTAGTACTAGTACTGTTACCATTTCTATTCTTTTTAGTAATACTGTTTCTATTCTATTTCCATTACTACTACTATTATTATTATTA